TAAAAGGGAGCACAGACAAGAGCAATGACCAGGTTTTTCATTTTCATATCAATTGGCAGAAATTATCTTTATTAGAAAAATGAAATTTTCATGTATTTACATTTTTTACATCCTGTTATACTTGGCACGTGTGTTTTCCCCGGGAATTATATACATTTCAGTACACAGACATTCAAGTCCCCTATTCCCTTAATATTTTTCTACATATTTAACAAAAATGAAGAACACAATACAGTTTGTAAGACAACCATAATAATTATATATTTTTCTATCATAAAAATTTTGAAGCAAACATATAATTTTTTTAGATATGTCTGAAAATATTTACACAGTATTAGCACTTAGTCATGCACTGAGTTAAAATATGGAGTAGGGGATAAATTGTTGAGTGGCAGGATACATAACACGGGAAATAAAAAATCTATATGAATCACAGCTCCTTTGTGTTGCAGTGTTTGCTGTTAGGTAAAACTCACCTATTAAACCAGGATTTTAAAGTTATGGAGGGCTTGTCATGTACATGTGTATTTCTAGAGTGTGTGTCTTTTAAAAACTTTGTTGGAGTTTGCTAAATCAATCCTATCTGACAAAAGGAGGCCTATAATTGGAAAGTTAAAGCTATTTTTCTATTGATATTATTTTCCCCTACTCTTGCTTTTGGAAAATTCATCAGATTTTAGTCTCCCTTACACATGAATTATTTATCCTTTATTCCTTCCGACAACTGTTTTGTAATCTAATATTTTAATATATTTCCCTATGCTCTATCTAAGAGATCTTTGAGTCACTACTAGTCTTTGCTAGCAGTTTGAAATTTATACTTTACACTTTGGTTTGAAATGTTACTCTCTCCAGGATACTGCAGTAAATTGTACTAGTAAATACTTGAGCTGGTAGGCTTTTAAATTTACTGCATATGGAATGGACAAGTTGGCAGATTTCTGATAAGATGTTATTTATTGAATACATACTTCTTCTACTAAGGTGTATTCTATCATTTTTTTGTCCTGCCATGCTGAAAGTACATGATCTGTGCCTTTGAGGCTTGTTGATAAATTTAATTGTAGGATTCTAGAAGTTAATTTTCTGAGAAAAAGAAAAAAAAAAAGGTTTGAATCTTAAGGTAAGAAGGATAAGGAATTAAAATTAGATTATTTCAGTGTTTAGGTAAAAATATTTTAAAACCTGTAATTGATTTTTTTTTTTTTACCTAGACCAATTATATTTTCACCTTTTTGATTAGTAGTATACTAAGATATTAGTCCATCATTTAAGCCAATCAAAATCATTAAACAAGAAAATGTCAGATCAATGAAAGGAGGCATGGAATGTTTTTCAGGTTTATTGTAGAACACATTTTAAAAGGATGAATTTAAATTAATTCTACTAACACTCACATGAAGTATTTATGAAAGTACTTGAAGCATACACAGGTAAATTTGTGCATAAAATAGGTCTGATGCATGCAAACCAGGTCGATATCTGCCTGATACACAGCCATCCTATTTGTTCATGCTAATTTTAATTGGGAAAAAAATAAAAGTGAACATGTGCACAAATTAAGATATAAAACTGTCTTTTCCAGTGCAAAATGCTGGTTATTGAACATGTGCGATTACTTTAAAAGCTTATTGTAGATTCTAAAGGTGCTCATAGAGATAAATAATGTAAACTAGAATTTGTAAACAGTTCTTATTAAAATTGTACAAGACTCCCTACTTATTAAATATAATTTTACATAATATAACTTATTTTTTGCCATGTACGACTTCTCTTTTTTCAACCATACCAAAAAATAACAAATATAGACCTGATTTAGCATTACTTACTCATACATTCCTACTTAAGTCAAATGGGTTTTCTTACGTAGTCTACAGAGAATGGGGCATTTACTGTAATAATATTTTGTTAAAATGTAGCAGTTTAGGCAAAAACAAAAAAAAGTACTACAGTCTTGTCTTTCTTTATAACCCGTTATAGTCAATGTAGACTTTGTCACCCTCACGAGTTGGTGTTTTTATCACAGTCCTTACATATTGTATCTGGTTATTAAACAGACCTTGAGGAATTCCTGCTTGGCCTTCCTTGATAATGTGGCTATCTGCAACAGCAGGCAACAATGAAGTTTGTTAGTAGCCATTTTCTAAAATAACCTGATTTAATAACTGTCTTAGGTATATAACTCTATGGCCAGAATTTCATCTAGTGTAAATCAGCATAACCTGCTTTTAGTTAACGTAGCCAGGCTGCACACCAGCTGATAGACTGGCTTTTCAGAACCTGCATTTTGTTTAACTCAAATTCGCATTTGTTCCTAAAGGACAGAGAGCAAGTTGTCAGCTCTTTGAAGCAGGGACCATCTCTTCTAGTGTGTGTTTGGGTTTTTTGTTTGTTTGCTTGTTTGTTTTACAGTGCCCAGTATAATTAATCTGTAATCATAACCAGGCTGGGCACTCCTATAATAAAACATATTTAGGTTAACATGTTTTAATTACCAGATACAGTAAGAAGCTATTTTAAAAAATTAAACATCAGGCTCATATCGTTTAAAATAGTGCATCCTTCCATTATTCTTATTCTTATTCTTATTCCTATTACTATGCTAGGATTTTCCTATTACATAAAATATATATTTGCATATTTAATATTTAGTTTGATCCCTTTTCCCTGTAGAACCCTCTTATCACAGTTTACGGGGGCTTTCATCTTTTAATATTAGCTTTTTTATTTTCTCAGTGTTGGGCTAACATTATGAACTCAGCAGCAGCAGCACTCAAAACACCCAGTTAAACAATTACCATAAACTTCATCACAAATATCCCAACAACAGACTACCTGCCAGTACATATAATTTTAATGCTTGCAATTGCCTCTTATTTACTAGATCGGA